ATTAAGCATTGGTCAAAGACAGAACAGCATGAAAAGGGTAATACAACCCAAACTCTGAAATTTGTGGGGGGTGGGGGAACACTAAAACATTGCATCAAATTTAAGACTGCAAAAAGGCAATGGAACACTATCTTTTCTTCAAACAGCAGAAACTTCTGTGAACAGTTTAGCATATCCTTTCAACATTCATAAATGTATTGCTGATCCTTTATTCCCATTTGTTTGCTTCGCCCACCATTCCTATCTGGTGCATGTTGAAGTCAATTTGGAATCCTGGTCTCCATTTTTTGGTCCGTGGCATCAGATCTCAGATGATTAAGTCACACAGCAGCTATAACACACACATATGCAATTTTTCAAAAATAGGATATAGGCAAAAATTCAGAATTGGACATCAAGACCTGTAGTGTAAAGCCAGCCATAAAAAGATGCATAATCAAAGTGAATCTGTGAGGGAGTCTGTAAGTCAGACTTATCAATCGCAACATCTTTTATCTGCAGGTGCTGTAAAGCAATCTGCCCATTTATACCTCACATGTTGATGTTCTTGGCCAGAGAATGTGCTAACGTTGCACCCATGACTCTCTTTAATGTCTCTCCCACCTTTAAGAGCCAGTGTGTTTCTCTGTAAATTGATAATTCTTTGTTAGTTTATGAACAGTATAACATGCCCTAACCCTTTCAAACATGTTTGAAATTATCAGCCAAAAATCTAAACTGGTTTGATGGTCTGAACAGCATGTGACCATAAGTTCAGTGGTTTCAGCTACTTTCATAGTAGATAACCTGCTGTTAGATTATCTGTGTAATTTTGAATCCCCAACAAGGTTAGCATTAGACAACTAAAACCTTAGCAAAAATCAACTGGACTTAGATTTTTAGATCGAAGACGTTTCACCTCTCATCCAAGAGGCTTCATCAGTTCTGACTGACTGGTGTTGAGCCGGAGATATTTATCCCCCTCGGTGGTGTTTCAGTCCTTTGAAGGCCAACAATGTCCCTTAACGACTAAGTCATTGCAGCCCGGTATCGGTGAGAGTCGTTACCTGTCTTTGAAAGCTCCCCTGTCGACCGACGCCTATTGTCCTGGTGGGCATGTTTGGGCAGAGATCTCAAAACAGGATTGTAGATGGAAGACAAGTTGTGTCTTAGTCCACCACCCCTATTTAGTGAGGGGTGTTCTATTTTTACAAAAATAGCTTCCTTAACTCCTCTCTCAAACCAGCGATGTTCTCTGGAGAGGATCTGGACTTCACTGTCCTCAAAAGAATGTCCTTTGTCCTTCAGGTGGAGGTGGACTGCTGACTCTGGTCCACTGGAGTTGGCCCTCCT